AACATATTCATATATGAATATAACGTGGTAATTTAGTTTATGCATTTCATCAAACAGTTGGAGTGCATACTACTTAACTTTTTTAAAAATGTTAAAAACATGATACTTTGACTATTTAAATCTTACAAAATAGTAGATTGATAGAGAATTATATGAAATTTTCAAAAAAAAAAAAAAAGATTTCATCTTTTTCTAAACTCAATTTTGAAGTTTTATTTGATAATCGATCTTGAATGAATGATATGAAATGAATTTTTTGTTGATTATCGATGATGTTGATCTAATGACGCTGGGAGTATAATTAATCGTAGATGTTGAAGATCTGATCGTATTCAAGCAGAATTGAAGGTTAGATTAAAAGCACCAAAAATAAATTTTTGTTGTTAACTGTTGAATCGCGTCGATAAACATGTTATTAACGAAGATCGATGATTGATTAGCACTGGATGATGTTGATGATGGTTTAATTGAAGAAATCTGAATGATTGTTGAAGGTTGGAGGAGAAATTTGGATGATGAACGATCGATTACAGTCGCGTATTTAAGATTGAAGGTTATTATCATATTTACAAGTTTGCCACCGTGTCTTTTTATGCTTAGATTAAATGAGTGGCTGAGAATGATTCCTCCATTCTCAACCTTTTTTATTTTGTCAATTGACCACCTCTATCTATCTATATATATATATATATATATATATATATATATATATATATATATATATAACCTTAAACAAAAATACATAAATAACATATATCTTTTTAATATGAATTAAATGTAAACATTGACATTATTATTCTTTTGGATATATATTCTTGGACCAATCCCATGACGTGTCACATTCTTATTCGTTAATTGCAGACTTTGGTTGACTGTCCACTTATTTTCATTTCTTTCCTTTGAGCCCCTGAAGAAACATTTATTTCATCAAAGCCCCTCTTTTTCGTTTCTTCTTTCAAAAATACCCCAAACAACTTAAAACATTCTCCTTTTCCTCCCTCATCATTAAACTCATCGCCGGCAGTCACCGTCGCCGTCGCCATCTCACCAACCACGGCACCTCCTTTCATGATGCGATTGATATAATCCGGCGCCACTTTCACGTTTTGTGTCAGAAACGCCACCAGATCGTCGCACTGTTTCTTCATTTGTGCAAGCTCCGACGTCAGAATCCGGTTCTCCTTTTTCAGTTTCTCGTTTTCGTCGGACAAATTCTCCAGCTTCTCCACCGTCGGAGTGTCGACTGATCCCGGATTCTTCGAATCCGGCGAAGATGTGGAGCTGGATCCGAGATCATCACCGGAAATACTTGGCGATTGTGCCGGACCACCGTCACCCGTCGGCTTAGCTTGGGATGACTGTACGGTTTTCCGACGACGTATTTCGATTAAAAGCTCTCGTTGCCCACGCTTAAAATTCTCATTTGCGAACTCCCATTTATCCGGCACAGTTTTACGGAATCCCTAAATAAACAAAAAAGTTAATCACGATTGCGTAATTGAAACGAATTATTTAATATGAAGAATTATGGATTCTAGAAAGAACTAGGTGGATGCATATGGCATATAAGAGTATAAGTCAAACATAACTTATTTGGAATAATAGTAGAATCTGTTCAAAATCTAGACCCTTCGATTGATTTCCGATTTTCTTGTTTAACAGACCCCACTGAAATAATGTGAAACTAAAACCACTACCTGTTTTTAATGGAAACTAGCCTGTTTCCATTATGATTATGAAATATCTGATCATTGAATGGATGAAGTAATGAACCAATATTTTTTTTATATATGTATTAAAATAGAATTAAAGTAAACTAACTCTTTTCTACCAGAAGGTTGATAGAGAATGAAAGTAAGAACTAAGAACATGAAAATTGAGCTATGAATTATGAATATGATCAACTGAGAATTCAGATTTTAATGGTGATTATAGATGAGAGAGAGAGAGAGAGAGAGAGAGAGAGACGTACATAAGTATTAAGCTGACGAACGAAGCTAGAGAAATTATTGTGTTTGAAGGAATTTGGAAGCAAATCCCTCGCGAAATCAGCAGTTTTCCAGACGATGAACGTTGATCCGGTTTCATTCCACGAAATCACATCATCCGTGGCCGGATCATCCACCAACAGATACGTCTTCGTCAGAAACGGCGCCGGAACAGACCGATTCGTCATTTTTTTTTTCAATCTCACCTACTTCCGATCGATATCTCTTTCTCTAAATAAATTACCTAAATTCTACACTAATTGAAGAGCTAAAATCAAGGAATTAATTAATTAACAACTAAACAGCAAAAGAGCAGTGAGGAATTCCCAGCCCCAACAGTAAAATCCAGAAAGGAACAATCGAGATCGAGCCAGATCGTAATTCGAAAGGTGTATTGTAACCGTAGATGATGATGATGATGATGATGATGACGATGACCTTTTAGTTTCTTCCATGAGCGTGTACTTGTTGAATTCGAATACACCGGAGAAATGACACGAACATAACTTCCGCCACAAGTCTGTTTCCTCTCACGACGGCGACGTCCAACGATGACAAATCACGAACACGAACACGAACACCAACAGAGTATGACGATGCTGATGAGTATGATTAACGTGTTTGATCTATGAAGAATTATAAGGATTCGTGCACGAAAACAATCTAAAGATGCTTTATAGAACTCATGGGGGAGGGGTGTTCTAGAAAGGTTTGGAAAAACAAGTGTGAAGCTAGTGGTGGGGCCAATTTGAAAATAAGAAAGAAGACTGTTTTTGTTTCTAATGAGCTTCGGGAAAATTCAAAAAGCAACGGCACTAGATATTGAAAAATAAACATTTATGAAGATAATTTTTAGAAGATGTGAGAAATGAATTTATAAAATTATAATTTGTTAAGTAATGAATGTATTAAAGTTAAAGATTAATTCACAAAAATATGTAAATTGACTAAATAAAAAAATCCCAAAACTTATAAGGAAGGGTTGAATTACTTGGTTACTAAGTTAAATGAGATGAGTAAATGCTAGTATTATATTGCTATTGGTCCTATTGTGATGTTTATGTTAAGTTATATGAATTGATTGAGTTTGAATTTTCTTTTAGATTCAATCTGTTTTGTAAATAATTATTTATAAATGATATGGTGTGTAATTTTCATTAATCAAGGGCGTGTACCTAAAATATATACATATCCAGATGGGTTGGGATCTAATACACAACTAATACATACGTAGAACGTAGCCCTTTTGTGAAGATGACAACAAACTGTGATGAGCACGCCACATGGAGAACTCGAATTAAGCCCATTGTTAGTTTGTGACTTGATCTCACATAAAATGAATGTCAGTCTCAATGTTTTTCATTCGTTGATGTTGGACAAGATTTTACGACATGGACATGATACTAATATTGTCACAAGACTATAGTTTTTTTTCTCTTGTGGAGAACAAAGCTTTTATATCAAATTATGTATACAACATGTTTTAGCAATGGTATTTGCCATCACCTGATACGTATTTGCAGGGCTGGTCCTAAGAAATTAAATATCCTTAAAGGCCCAAGATGAGCTAGAAAAAAAAGGGTCTTTATCGTTATTATAAGTTTTTATTTTTAGATAAATATATATAATAATAATAATTGGGTCCTGTGCACGGGTTGGAGTTTTTGCACTTTTTTTTTATTTGGTTATTGCATTGCGAATAGCTCTTAATGTTGGTCTTTTTGGAATATCATACTTGAAAATAAACTCTAAGAATGTATGTTTGTCAACAGAAATAATTCAAACACACGTCTAAATCTTTTTTTAGCAAGCATGTCACTTTTGTTAGCTTAAGCTGCGTAATAACATGTTTAAAAAGTTACAATTCGCTTTCCAATTTCCTTTATGTTCAAGTGATTGTCAAATTCTTCCACGCCTGAACAAAGTCAGACATTTTGATTGTGAAAATGTTGATATAATGGAAAAGAACCTAGCAATTGTTAGTGTTTAATCTTTATGATAATCCTTTTATTTACTATATATTCAATAAGTAAGAAGGAAATCATAGAGTGACGCGACAACATCAATAAATTCTTCAGTGTTCAAATAATGCTCCATACTCCGCCTGAAGACCATTCAAAAATAAAAATTAATGAAATTACTTTTTTGCCCCTCTCAGATTCCCCATTTTTTATACACGATTCTTCCAAGTTTCTTATTGAACTCAAAAGCTTAGAATTGTTATCCAATTTTGCCCTAAAAATATAAAACTCTTTTTAGTAAAAAAAAATTTGGTCCTAGCAAAGGTAGAGGCTATGCTGTTTGAGGCTAATATTAATTATGAATTCATATTACAGAGTAAAAAAAGAGTAATTTGAATTTTAACTATGGTTGTTTTAACTACCTTACAAACATGTCATGGATCACCCATATTAACCAATAAACTGTCACATTTTAGATCGAAGTAAAAAAGAAAAATTTGAAGATTTGAAATGTGTTTGTATTAACTTTTGAGGATGCAAAGAGAAAAAAGCCAAAAGTTGGTAAAAGTCATAGATTCGTGACTTCTTAACCACTTTCTTTTTCTTCTTCTCAAAAAGCTAATTTAAAAGATCTTTTGAAGTTACTAAACAACTTTTTAAACTTTTGACTTTTTGAAAAAATCAAAAATCCAAAAAGTCATTTCAAAAGGAATGTCAAACACCCTCTAAATAAAAAAACCTGGATCATGTATGTACCTATTTGTGAAGAGTAATCCAGCACGAAAATTGTTCAACCACAAAATTAGGAGATGCCTGACGATGAGATTTGATATTTTTGAGATGAAGTTATCGACGACCCTTTATACTTAAGGAGGTGTAAACTGAAATCGCATTTGTGAAACCAAAATTTATCAACTCTAAAAAGAAATCACATGGAATTTCAAAATCCAAAACCATGAAAACGAAATTAAACTTAAAAGAAATGCTAAATAAAAATTTTACAGCATACCCACCGGTCAACCCATTGGAGCTCTAGCATCTGACGTAGGTGCGCAGCCACAATCGGCGGTGAGGAGGCGGGCTCCGATGTCTTCTCCTTCCGATCGGCTATTAAAAGTCCGTCGGAAAGGGTTTTAACTGATATCGATATTTTTATTAAAATCTTATGAAAGTAACTACATACTTACAATAGCATACATACTTTTAACAAATACTTGTATTAAAATCATGTTCATGAAAGTAATTATGCACTCATCTGATTGAGGTGGAAGATTAGCGAGAAAGTTAGCTTGTTGACTAACTTCAGCTTTTCCCTTTTTAAACGACCTAAATACACATATTACTAAGTATTAGTATTCATTCATATTTATGAGGTTATATTAACTATTTCTGGATTCTTCAATAATCCTAAAGAATATTGAGTTCTATCAAATAAAGAATCACCAGATAAGATCATATTGGAGGTACAATCTATTTGGTATAAAAATATACTGTTTGTAAAATCCACTTAGAACATCTCACTAGTTATAGCCTAGACATCACTCCTGTAAGTGGATCGATTCGTATTATAATCGAAATTACTGATAAATTTTATTTATAGGTTCATAACAATGACGATGAACTTAAATGTAAGTTACACATAAAAACATAAAAGTGTAACTCAACTTATAGGGTTTTCTAGCAAAAATTGGAAATTTCGCAAGCAGAACTTCGTCACCGATTCTTCTTTTTTCGAGCCTTCTGTTGTCGTGGCGCTTCATTAAGATGCTCGGAAACTTAGAGAGTCAAGCCTTGGGATGTAGGAAAAATTTCCATAGAAAAAGGAGTGAAAACTGGTGAAAAATGAAGCGAAAAACAGCCTATTCATAGCAAAATCGCCCCTATTGATGTGTCAACTACTAGTTGCGCCACGTGTAACGTTCCCGTGGAACCACATATCGTGTTCCTATGGTTCTACATCGATGGCCGATTGGTGGGAGGAGTGGGTTCTTATGGTAACACGTGGCGGCCCCCAGGTGGTGCCAAGTCAACCATTCACTGATGTTTTCTCGCAATCTTTGAAAAATCGTAACTCTTGCACACGAACTTTGTTTTTAACGTTAATTATATCTACGGATTCATATCGATGAGTACTACAACTTTTATTTAGATTACATTGGCTAATTCGCAATCTATTTTCATTTTACAGTCTATAAAGATTACACTATAAAAGATACTACAAAATTAATAATTTTTTCATACGAGCTCCGTTCTTGACATTCTTTATATCGACAGGTTTGTATTTATGAGGAAATCAAATCTTATTTATATTACTTTGGCTAAAAAATAATATTTCTTCATTTCGTATTTTATGACACACATGGTTGTACTGTGTTGAGCGTGAAAATTCGAAAAATCATAACATTTTCATACGAAATCAGATTTTAGCGTTATTTATACTCATGGGTTCGTAATCACGACCACTACAACTTTCATCAATTTTATATATCCTAAATAATATTTTATTTAATAAATCTAATTAACATAATTTTTAAGTTTAAAATAAGATTTTATACAAATATTATATACTCCTAACATTTGCCCAAACTTCATATATATATATATATATATATATATATATATATATATATATATATATATCACCTTTATATAAACACATATCATGTTTGAAGAATTCTTATTCATTTATTGTAATTATCCTATTCGAGGATTTTAATTATAAAATGAACATTAATATCTCTTATCCCTTAAGCGTCTTGCCCGAACTCACGGGTGTTACAAAACGTCATAAGACATAACATTTTTTTTATCATAAGATAACTTATTTGGATTTTGAAGTCAAATTATAGTCCTTGAATAAGTAGTGGTAATGTAGCTAATCAAAATTTTCTATAGTGGAATGGTACTAATTCTCCCTGTTTGAGCATGTATTTGTTTTTTACTGGATTGAGTTGATAAAGTTGATCATTAAATAACTCACTTTATTTTCAGACCCTTTTCAATCCTCAATTTGTTGTCTGGTAGGTTCAACAACCAAGTCTGAGCAATTCAATCAGGTGGCTTCAAATCCAGACCTCCTCTAACCTTCTGATTTTTCACAATTAATGTTTTTCTTCAAATTAAATACCAATATGAGTTTATATCTATGTTTTTGATGTCATGAACTTTGAAATTATTATATTGGAAGCCTTAGTATCTTTGTCTCACTTTTATATAGGACCTTCGTGCACAACTTAAGGAATTAATTCCAGAACAACATGTGTATTTTTCACAATAATGCTTCATACATAACAACTAACTAGAAAAGTTCAATTGGTGATGAAAATATCATTAATCACTCATTTTTGTACAGGAGCCTTGAAAAAGATAAAGTCAAAATATGGAAAAGTTCAATTGGGTAACAATATTTTTGATATGGTAAATCAATGATTCTTTACTTATAGCTTATTTTGTCAACTTTTTCACTATTGATTTAAGTTTCATAATATCTACATCTTGTGTTACAAATTTTCTGTGACAACCCGGAACTTCTATCTTATTCAACTATTCGATTCAATCAATGTTAAACTCGTTTCTGTTATCTTTTAGCACTGTTTAAGCGTTCGTTTAAGTGTTCTAAGCTTGAGTACAACCAAGATTGAGATTAGGGATGAGTTATCGAAGTCGTAAAGTAGCAAATCGGGTCATACACTCCTTTAGGAGGAGTGTGCGGCCGTATACATGGGTGTACGGCCGTACACCCCCTCATGGCCGCACACCC